CACAAGATCTTTTGCGAAGATGATATTGCCCATACCAATATTTTTATCTGTATTAGATGATATATGAAAATGGAATACTTCGGTCGACTATATCTGGTACCTCACGCACATACCAACATTTTCTAAAAAAATTATTACATATGTCATATAAATATTATCCAAACTTGGCACGTCGCAATATTTATATCACATTTATTTAGGACTAATACGAAATGGACAATACTGGTCCATCCCTTCGGAACTTACTCCATACAGGGTCAAAATATATTAAAATAATGAACATTGGCTGAGGGTATACATCTGATATATGAAAATGGAATACTTCGGTCGACTATATCTGGTACCTCACGCACATACCAACATTTTCTAAAAAAATTATTACATATGTCATATAAATATTATCCAAACTTGGCACGTCGCAATATTTATATCACATTTATTTAGGACTAATACGAAATGGACAATACTGGTCCATCCCTTCGGAACTTACTCCATACAGGGTCAAAATATATTAAAATAATGAACATTGGCTGAGGGTATACATCTGTCGGCAAAACCGACTGATACTTTTTAGCTTATTGCCTTTTAATTTTTAATCTCTTAATACGCAAGTGCAAAGGCTTTCATTACTATTTCCCAGAACTCAAAATCTGCACTGTATTAAAAATTCCGCACATTTTCAATAACTCATCTCATCGTTCATCATTGGGTATTTATTTTTTATTCATATTATCCTCCATAAATCCTTTTGTATATTTAAATACATTTGTTTTTGTTCTTTTGTGTGTGGGTGTTTGTTTTATGTATTTTTGTTATGAATCCAACGAGATTGAGAGAGAGAGGGAGATAGAGAGAACCCTTTGCAGTGCAGTGCAACAATTAAATACAAATAATGTACCAAAAACAGCATGGAACAACAACTAACTGTTGAATATTGTTGTTATTGAATTGAAAATACATTCATTTTATTTCGGCTTTAATTCATTCGTACATTAATTATAACAATTGTAAATGAATGGCTGACCAATATTTAGTAGGGATTAAAAACTTCAAAAAAGGATAACTGTTTTATTGATTTTAAAATCCTAAAAATAAATGACGGCCATTGTTTCGTTGGCAATAATTAGAATTAAAATAATAATAGAAACAATTTTTTGTGTGTAAAAAATTTTTGCAATTGTTTTTGGAGGTCAATGAACTTAAAAAATTTAAACAAATAATTTAAAATATTGTGTCGAAGTTTTATAATTTTCAAATGTTTAAAAATCCTACTACTCAACTTCTATTATAAAAAACTTGCGCTGCAAAATTCCGTAAAAGTTTGACTAAAATCCCAGATTTTTACAGGCATGTCATAGGAACGAATTCCATGTTTAACTTCTTTAACGTCGGAAAATGAGAACCGATTTTTTTTTCGGTTCGAAACTACTTATAATTTTGCAAATGAAATTATGTTTTTATGGGAACTTTAAAACATTTTCAAGTAATAAAAATCTGGTTGTAATAACAACTATCCAATTAAATTTATTTTTGTACCTTTTTATTTAAATTGAATTAACAAATGTTTGTTGCTCTATTATTAAAAAAGTGTTGCCACATCATTTTTTCTTAAAAACCAGTTTTTTCTTTAAACAAAAATTATTCATACAATCCGGCCTTACAATTTACAAATTGAAACAAAGATTAAAAAAAAAAAAAACAAAACAAACAAGTTACACAATTTCAGTTGGTTTTGCTGACAGATGTATACTCTCAGCCAGTGTTTAAATATATTTTGACTTCTGTTATGATTATTCAAATTCTTAACCCTTTTAAGAGTAGATTCAGGAATGGACCTATATTGTCAATTTCGTATCGGACCTAAAAATGCCAAGTTTTTACTATATAGACTACTTTCTTCATTTTATATGAGATATGTGATAATTTTTAAAAAATGTTAAAATATGCGGAGTTACCATGTATAGTAGATTAATTATTCCATTTTAATACTATATCTAATATTGAAAAAAATTACAAGAAAATCGAACATTTATATCCAAAGATTTATTCAAATTAATCTTAGGTTAATAGTTGAGAGAAATAAGGAATCGCTGACGCTGATGGCCAGATCTCTACCATCTTTATAACAGATCTTGTGTTGCTAGAAACATTAAGTTGTTTCGCGATTTATGAGCTTCATGGATATTCAAAATTTTGGCCCTTTGCGTTGGAGGTACCAGAAGGATTGGATCGATATATACCATCTTCACAGCATGTCTTGTGTTAGTAGAAATAATGAGATGTGTGAAATATGGAGAGAACCGAATGCTTATTTCGGATTTTATGATCGTTTTGGCTATTCAAAATGTTGATCCTTTGTGGGAAAGGTACCAGAAGGAATGGTCCGATCTCGACCATCTTTATAACAGACCTTGTGTTGCTAGAAATATTGAGATGAGCTTCATGAAACTTTGTGTGGTAGCTACCAGAAGGAATGGTCCGATCCCAATTCACACCAGACATTGGGTTAATAAAAATATTATGATGTGTGTAATTTAAAGAGAAGCCGATGCTTATTTCGGATTTTTAATCGTTTTGGTTGTTCAAAACTTTGAAGCTTTGTGGGGCAAGTACCAGAAGGAATGGTCCGATCTCTATCATCTTTATAACAGATTTTGTGTAAATGGCAATATTGAGATGTACCAGGTCTAAATGGTTATAAATGGTAATTTCGTGTTTTATGAGCTTTATGAATATTCAAAATTTTGACCCATTGTGGGGGAGCTACCAGAAGGAGTAGACGGATTTATTCCGTCTGCACACCAGACCTTGGGTTAATAAAAATATTGTGATGTGTGCAATTTAAAGACAATCGGACTCATACATCACATTTTATAATTATTCCAAATTTTGACCGTTATTGTCCACTTTCGCACCTGACCATGCATTGATGCAAATAATAGGATATGCAAAGTTGGGGTAATATTGAGTTATCCTTTCTCTTTCTGTGCAGTGAATTTTTTTTTAATATTGAAAATTTTTGGGGAGTTACCTGAAGGAGTTGTCCATCTCCGTACTTGATCTAAGTTTGAAAATAGTATTATGATGTACCAAGTTTGGATTAAATCGGATACTCCCTTCGAGAATTATCGACAGACAGACAGACGAACGGTCGGACAGAAATTGCTAGATCGACTCCAAATGTCTTGAAACGGCTCAAAGAGACCTAGTCTGAAACCGTTATTTTGATGAAGCACCTTTTGGCCGTATCAAATGATATATACCCAGACTGAGGGCATAATGAGGACAAAAACCTTGAAAACGTCGAAAATCATGCTGTGCCATTATATGGGAGCTGCTTTAGTTGGAAATAATGGTAGACAAAGTAAGGTACCTCAACGTCGACAAATAAAGTTCATTTTCAATACCACTAATCCAGACTAACAATTGGGCAAAGTTTTAGAGTTTTTCTTAACAAAATATTGCCTGTATTTTGATTTTTATACATAGATCTATGAAATCGATTGAGAATTGTACAGGGTGAGATGAAAAAACTGCAACCAACTCCAGTCTGCGGTCATTTCTAAGCCAACAGCTGTTAAAATTATTATTGACAGTGACATTATGTAGTTTACAAGCGTACATAAGCATTTTGGTGAGAATTTTCCAGAAAAAAGTTATTGGTGATGTAATTCAAGCGTGATAGTGTAATTTCTTTATATTTGGCTGGAAAACCACAAGTGGCTATCGTTAGAGCACTCCAGCATTTAAATGTGAATAAATCTTTTGTGTCTCGTAACATCGCTCGTTACTGTGATACTGGAAGCGTAGCCCGACGTCAAGGAAGTGGACGGTAGAAAACAGCAACATCAGCAGAAATGGCTCCAAATGTAAAGAAGCGACTTGATCGAAACCCGCATCTCAGTGGCCAAAAACTGGCTCGTGATCTGAACATATCGCAATATTCCATTCGGCAAATATTGAAAAAGAGCTCGGGGTAAAGTCATTGAAAATCCAAAAAGTGAACTTATTTTGGAGGGTGTATTAAAGTCTTGGGCTCGCAAACATTTTGGCCGCAGACCTTGGGCATTCCAACAGGACTCAGAAGCATCGAACTCAGCACGCGCCACCCAAGAATGGTTACAAAATTATGTTTCTTGCTTCATTTCCAGCTCACAATGGCCACCAAAATCTCCCGATACCAATCCGTTGGACTATTGTGTCTGGAGTATTTAGGAAAACAAGGTTGGCACAAAAAAATTCCAATGTGTCGATCACTTCAAGCAAGCGCTTCGCCGGGAATGGGCCATAGTACTGCAGAGCAACATTCGGGCAACGTGTGACGGCTTCATTGGCCGTTTGAAGGCCATAATTTGTGCCAAAGGTGATCAATTCGAACAAATTTAAATTTAGTCTAACATTTGATGCTATTTCCGACATTTTCTGCTTTCATTCAGTGAAATTAAAAAAAAAACGAATGTAAAAATTATGGCGTTTGACATTGTTGCAGTTTTTTTTATCTCACGCTTATTCTTTTCTTTGTAGCGATGAACTTTTTCCCACAACAACTACATTGCCTGTAATTGTGCTGCTGTACTGAATGATGACTTTGAACGTTGAGACTGCAACATTTAGTTGGCTACACATCGAGGTCCGTGGATCAAATCCCATGGAAATTTTTTACGAGGTGAGAGCCAAATATTGGATTATTAAACGATAACAGCTGTTTATGTTAGAAATTTTGAAAATGTCGGAAATCATCATGTGCCATTGTATGGGAGCTATACCAAAATGTTGCAGAAAACTTCAAAATAACGAAAATCAGGGGCTATAACAAATACAGGACCGGGGTTAATTCATTTAAAACACCTACATTTTTTGAGATCAGTCTCAGTCTCAAATTAACAATTTCATAAATATTTGTCATATTCAACAATAATAGAGCTCCATTTCGTTTTATCAGTATTTCTTGACACACTACCTCTACTGTGAAACATTAAAACTTTCTGAAATAAAACCACAATTAATTATCAGATTTTTGTGTTGTTTTTTATTTATTCATGTTTTTTTTTGTTTGTTTTCATTCATGTATGATTATCATTTTTGTTTGCTTTTGTTTTGTTTTATTTTACACAATTTATACATTAATTGACACATAAGACATTTTAAAACGTTTTTATTTTTTTGTTTCATATTTTTTATTCATAGTGGTTTTTTATTTGTATGATTTTTGTTTTTAATTTATTCGATTGTTATTTTGTTGTTGTTGTTGTTTAGGTGTTATTGAATTTAAGCTTACGTTTCATTGTTAATTAATTAATTAATTACTTAACTATTATTAATATTATTAGTGGTATTAATACAAATTAAAAACTGGGACAAAAGTAAGGTTAAGAAATCAAATTAAAAAATAATAGTTGGCAAAAAATATACTTTACACATAATTATTTGTTGTCTAGTTTTTGTTGTTGGGGTTTTTTATTTAACTACCAATATTTTGCTGACAATTATGTATATATTTTTTTCCTTTGCATATCCAAATGAAGAAGACTTCAATTGCCTTTTTGCTTGAGTTGCCTTAAAAATATTAATTGTTTTTGTTTATTTATATATATAATATTTACGGTTAGTTTTTACACAGTTATTATTTAATATTTATATTATAATGTAGTTGTAGTTGTTTTTCTATTATAAAATTATATCAGTTTTGTTATTCGTTTTATTACAATTGCAATGTATTTATAACATAAAAATTTACATCATTTTTTACAATAGTTTTGTGTGTTTGTTTAATGTCCAAACGTGTTGTTGTTGCTTATAATTGTTATAAGACTTGTTTTTTTAATTTCTTTAATTATTGTTCAATTTAGATTTCTGCTTGATTTTTTAAAAAATAAATTTATTATAAATAAACTACGATCACAAAATAGTTTTTGAAGACTTTTACTTTTTCTTTCAAAATGTTGGTGCTGAGGAGAGGGGTTTTGTTTTTGTGTACAAGATATTTTCAAATATCAGCAATTTTATTTTCATACATATTTCCTAAATTGTTATGCTGTTGAGTAGACCGAAAATTGTTCGATTTTATCTTACAAATTTAAGGCAAGATTTGTTTTATTGGTTTTGCTATTGCCATGTTAGATGATGAGGGAATGTTTCCATACGTTTGGGCCGTTTTTAAAGCATACTTTTAGGCGCATTGTTAAAGAGATGTTGTCGCATTTCTTTTAAACAAGAAGATTTATTAAAATTGTATAAAACAAACCGTTTTGTAGGAAATTTGTTTAAAAATCGCCAAAAAAAAGTAAGTAGATGCCGATTTAGAAACATCCAATGTAAGGAAAGAGGACTCTTTGCAATAATTGAATGACTGACCGAGAATCTACGAGCAGGCGAAACGGCTGAGGCTAGATCTTGAAATTGAATTTAGTACCATTTAGTACTTTTTGTACAAATATAGGACGCATTTTCAAACTACCGCCAAATTTGAAACACAGATACTATCAGTGATCTAAATATGAAATTTCCGAATTGTATCCTTTTAGTATTGTATTCCTTTCAAATATAGTATCATTCAGTACTTTTCGTTATTATAGTACAAATTTCCGAAACCACTTCCAAATGTCTAGGCTGCACATGAACCCTATACCAAATTGTAAGAAATGTGGACCTAAATCCAGTGGAACCAAAATCAATGTTTCGAAATAGAAATTTATGATCATAACCGGTGACTGGGAGAGCATTTAGTACTTCTCGTGCATTTGTAGTACACATTTCCAAAACTACATATTATTACATACCTACCACTTACAGAGACCCCAATATAAAATTCCAGATCCATCCGTTCACTCTAAACCAAACTGTTCTAAATGTAGTACCATTACAAACTTGGTGGTAGATAGACAGGGAGCCTAATAGGCGTGCGATAAGGCTGGGTTTTTGGAAATTTGTACTAAAGGGTACGGAAAGAACTGAAATTGACTAAAAATTTAATACTTTTTATTGGACAAACGAAATGAGCCATAATTCTAAAATTTAGAATAAGAGTCACTGATGAAAGGCAGGACAGATTTGTATTTGGATTTTGCAGGATATTTTTTGGAAATTCTTACTTTAAGCTTATGAAAAGTTCTAAAATGGAACTGAATTTGAATTTGGTACTATGTGAACTGATAGAACTAAAAAATTGAAGTTTGGTATGAGAATTAGGGTTTGACAAACAAGTTTAATATAGTTATGAAGGTGATTATACGAAATGTGTACTAAGTGTGCGAATTGTCCAAAATGGTACTAAATTTGGAATAATTAAGTTTTAGGGTGAACGGATAAAGCTGGAATTTTTTTATTGGGCTCCCCGCCTATCCACCACTACGGTTTGTGAAAGAGAGGAGTTTTTCAAAATGAGTGCTATGTCTGCGAATTGTACTAAATGGTATTAAATTTTAAGCACTTAGTTTTAAAAGTTGGAATTTCGAAATTCGTGGTAGGTTTGTGATAAGAGGTAGTCTTGCCAAGACAAAGAAATGTACTAAGTAGTACCATATTTGGTACATTTTGGTATTGGGTGGACAGATAGTGCTTGAAATCTGAAACTTGGTACTATGGTCGCTGTTCATGTGTTGCCTGGTCATATGGAGGTGGTTTTGGAAACGTGCATTATAATTGTACGAAAAGTACAAAATAGTATTTAATCTGATATTGGATGAAGGGATAGAGATAAAATTCTGAAATTTGATATTTAGATTACTGGTGGTATCTGAGGTTGAGATTAGAAGGTGGGTTTGGAAATGCGTCCTATATTTGTAAGAAAAGTACTAATTGGTACTAATTTTGGTCTTGGGTGAAGGGATAGGCTGGGATCCTGAAATTTGCATATGGTTTTAGAAATGTGTACTATAAATGTACGAAAAGTACTAAATGGTACAACATTTTGGCTTTGGGTGAAGGAGTCCTCAAATTTGATATTGAGGTGTTGGTTTTGGAAATGTGTACTGTAAATGTACGAAAAGTACTAAATAGTACCAAATTTGGAAGTGATATAGATAAAGTTCTGAAAATTGATATTGAGGTGTCTGTTGGTATCTGAGATTGAGATATTGAGGTGGTTTTGGAAATGTGTGCCATAATTGTACGAAAAGTACTGAATGGTACTAAATTTGGTGTTGGGTGAAGGAAATATTTGGAATCCCGAAATATGGTAAGATTTCGTTGTTGGCGTTAAGATATGGAGGTGGTTTTATAAATGTGGTACCAAATTGGCCATTGGGTGGAGGAATGGAGCTGGAACCGCGAAATTTGATATTGAGGTCTCTGTTGGTTTCTGGTATTGAGATATGGAGTTGCTTTTTGAAATGTGAAAAGTACTAAATAGTACCAAATCTGCTATTGGTAAAGGGATAGATGTGGAATCCTGAAATTTGATATAAATGTGACTGCTGGAGTCTGTGCTTGAGAGAAGAAATGGGTTTTGGATATGCGTACTAAATGTTACTAAGTTTTGTAATGGGGAAAATAACAGAGCTGAAATCCTGGAATTTGATATTAAGGTTACTGTATGGAACTGAGCTTAGGATCTGGTGGTGGATTTGTAAGTGCATACAAAATTTGTTCGAAAATTACTAAATGGTATTTATTTTGGATGATTTTTGATTTTTCGGATGGAGAGAAGTGCCTACACAATGTTACTAATTTTGGTATTAGATGATGGAATAGAGCTAAAATTATAAAATTGGATATTGGAATTTGATAAGGAGACGTTGAAATAGCTTTGAAAAGAAAAATTAAATGTGGTTCCATTGTGCAATGGTTTATTAGTATCCTCCTCGGTGAACTTCAAAATGAAAGATTTTGAAGACTTTTTGGTGTAAACGGTAAAAATTTTCCAAATTTGCTTTCCGAGAAAAAGAAATAAATTGAAAGTCTGAAAATTAAGCTCAATTTATGAAGTTTTTATTAAAAAAATTTGCCAAACTGAACAAATTGTGCATTTTGAGTAAGGCCTAACACGAACATTTGGAGCGAATCTATCTGGACTTTTTGTTGTAGTCGAATTTGCGGGCATTGCCAGTTTGATCTTAAAAAGTAAAACTGGAAATACAAAAAAGTTTTTTTTTTCTCTCAGCAGATCAGTTATTTTATTCAGAGTTTAGAGCTCATTAAAAGTACTCCGTTCCGTTTCCTTAAGACCACCTAAAAGTCTCTCCTTTTAATCACCGAAAATAAATGCTCAGTGAAAATTGGAGGTGTTTCCTTTTATCTGTCCCTGCCTGGCTGTCCTGACAAAATAATTTGTGAGTTATTTAACCCTTCGAACCTTTAGACTCAATTTTTTTTTCAAATTGGGAATTTTGTTATCCCCGTATCCTCATATCAAAAATATGTCCTTTAATAAAAACATTTTTTCCAACATCATCTTAACATGGCAATAAATATGTATGTACGTACATAAATTTCCAAAAATTATCTTCAGATATGTATGGTAATGGATGGATTACGGGGAAGTCTTCCATTTGTTTGTTAGTTTTTGTTTTGTTATAAAATTTTCCACAGATTTTTAAATGTATCCAAATTTATATCTATGTATATCTGTGGACTGTTAGTATTACTTTTGTTGTTTTAATATCATTTTGTTAATCCATTTGATTTTCAGTTGACGGCCTTAAAGGAAAATGAAAAACCAAAGAATTTGGAAACCGAAAAACAAAAATAGAAAACGAGGGCAGTGAGGCGGCATTTTCTGTCTGTTGTAGAAAAAATGACTCGAAAAAGACCATATCAAAGTTTTATGTTATATGTAGTTTTGTTTAAGGCCAGTTTCCACGTCTTGTTAGAGTCATATGGAAATTAATTCTTTCTCAACAATTTTTTTAACTTAATCGAACGCTACCCTTTTTAGGATATATTTTGTACAATGCTATGTAATATTGATCTATCATATTTATATTGCAGTTATCCTCTGAATGTATTCATATTTGCTATACTATAATGAGTTTCCTTTCAGAATACAAATTGTGTGAGGCGCCTTAAAGTATGCTATAAATATGCTTAATATAAATGTATAAAACGTTCTTTTACATATGACGCTAACATTACGTGTATAGCAGCCTTCAGATTGCTGTTACATTTTAATACTTTTTTTTTAGTGTCCGTCTTGCAGATACGTATTCATGCGATCCTTTAGCGAACGCATCTTCTGACGAACTCCATGGATTTTTGACTAACTAACCAGGGTTTCTATGTCGGAGACCATTACCTCCAAATCTGATGTCAATTCTGTGGCATGCATTTTCGAATTGTGGTGGCTGGTGTTGTTGTTGTTTGCAGAACTGGCGGAGGAGGAGGATGATGACTTGGAAGTGGATGCTGAGGCCGCAGCAGGCAGTGGTGGTGGATGATAGTTGTGAGTATGCTGTCTTATCGAATTCGAACGTTGCTGCCCGGGCGGTAGGGGGGCACTGATTAGCGGTGGTGGTGGCAAGCTTGTGCGGCTGCGCCTGTGCTCGGCTTGTGTTACTATGGCTGGATTAAAATTAAAACTATTGTTAAGATTGGCCGGAGAATTACTGCTACCCACACTGCCGCCAGCCGACGAACAGCTGGAGGATGCTATAGAGGCTGCATTTGCTGCTGCCGCCGCCGTATTAAGCAAACTAAGACTAGCTCTGGGTATGTTACTAAAACTAGCTCGCGACGCACGTTGAGCATTATATGATGGCAGTTGCTGCGATGTGTTACTGCCAGCTAAGCATGCAGCCGGTGTGGACGAGGAGGAAGAAGATTTGGCCAAGACATTGCCCGGCATTTGATCGGATTGGTGGGCTGGTGTGGAGCTTATGCTGCGTCTCAGCGGCACAGGACCGTGACCCTGCGCGGCTGGCACACTCAGTCCACTTTTGCTGCCCACTTGTGTGAGCTTGGAATTATCCGTGGATTCTCTCCGCAGATTCATGTTGGAGTTACTGCGCTTGGCCGGCTGCAGGCCAGGTGGTGGATCTTTGCCATTCTTGGCCACACTAGACTTGAGATTAAGACTACTGCGTTTCTTGGTTTTGCTTAGATTATTCTGACTATTATTTATGAGATTTTGAGTGCTGCCAAAATTGCGACTCAGATTATCAGCATTGCTGTCGCTGAGCTTGCGCGATGAACGCTGCTGGTCTACGGCAAAGGGATTACTGGAACTGGATGATCTCTGGAAATGTTGGGTCTGTGAAGTGGAGGGTTGGTTGTCCAGATTTGATTTGCTCGACGAACGCTTGACCATGCTGGAGGCGGCACTTGTGCTGTTCGATTTTTCGCCAGCAGCATTTACAGCTGGATCGCTCAGGCGCTTCTCGTTGGTCTGTATGAATTTGAGATTTTCATAGAAGGGATTCTCCACACGTGATGGAGCGGTTTTGGGGTTTAAGGTTTCATAATTGGGTTCATTTAGGGTTAAAATTTGATTGTCCTCATCATTGTTGGAGCGCAGCAAAAGAGCGGCCCGTTTAGTTTTTTCTCCCAGAGATCTGGCAGCCCCACCACTACCACTACCTCCAGTATTGCCTCCACCATCCATTTGATGACTACCGCTGGCCCTTTTGTTGTCGCTACGCGAATGCCGTTTAAATTTCGTATTCGCCGGATTGCCAATGACATGGGTCTTGACTTTGGTGTTCTTCGAGAGGCGTAGGGCAAATTTGAAAGGTGGCTTGTAGACCACTTGCAGCTTGACCTTTTCATTGGACAAATTACCCATGCTCTTACTCTTGGTGGGTGTCTTCTGGACCAATCTTTCAGGGGTACTCTGAGATTTACTCATAACATTCTTAACCTTCGAAGAGTGTTCAATGTGGGATAGTGGCTGGGCCACAATGGGGGATTCCAGCAACCATTTTTGTACCTTGCCAAAAGTGTTGGTGTGATTATTGGCCGAACCCAGGCCACCTGTGTTGCGTGTGGAATAATCAATGATTTCTTTGCTGTGTTTCTTTTTCTTTGATTTCTTGAGATTTTCCGCCGCATTGGCCGCCTTTTCGGCATTGACCACAGCATTGATGACATTTTGAGCGGTTTTACTTTGACTGCCGGAAATGCGATTCTTTTTGCCGCGCGGTGGTTTCTTGCCTTCACCCGGTGTCGTCGATGTTGTTGTTACAACAGCAGTGGCTCCGGCTGCTGCTGAGCTGGTGGTTGCCGCCGTTGCTGCTGCCGCCACTTTGGTGATGCGTCCATGGGAATGGGAGTTTTTATTGATGACCTTACTTGCCTTTGTTACCCCACCACCGCCTGCTGCTGCTGTCTGCGTTGTTGTTGCTGCTGCTGCTGATGTTTTCTTACCATTGGCTGCTGCTCGCTCGCCTCTGACTTTCTTTTTGAACGGCACCTTTGTTCGCACGGCCGTGTGAACGATAACGCCGTTGTTGTCGTCTGGCAGTCGGACGGTTTCGGTGGTGGCGCTGTGTATTATTGTTACCGACTTCAGTTTTAGATTTGATCGTTTCGTTAGAAGTTTCGTGCTCAGGATCTGCAAAAAGATGGATGGAAGGTAGAGGGGAGAAAAAATTGCGGATTAGTAAAATATTGAAAATTTATAAATATTTGGGAAAACATTATCTGGCAGTACATGTTAGGCTTAAATATGACCACAATGACCAAGGATCAAAAAGGACAAGTTTAAGACAGGGAAATAGTTAAAAAGCGAATGTTCCACAACCTTCTAAAATCTTCTGGTTTGGTATTTTTTTCGTAGCGTGACCTTTTCTTCTGCCTTATACTACATTAATTGCAAAATTAACCTGTCTACATTTAACTCTTAGGAAATAATTCGCATTCACTTCGTTATATAATCGGAATATAATTCTGATTTAATCGCCGAGATTGTCGAGTTCAGCCGGCAAAGTAGAAGTGAAATAGACGTGTGGCTCATCTATGGTTTAGGAAACTGGAATTCGCTACCAAATACTACGACCCCACTATAAGCAATCTCCCCGTTCAAAGCATCGTCACGGTCCTAGAAAGTTTAATGGACGTGTAGCTCATCCACGGTCTTGGAAACTCGTTAGCATCAATCGTGGTAAGTTACGCAACATTGAGTCAAATCCTTGGTCATCCTGGGACATCCTTGTGGATCCCGAGGTCCTTAGAAATCCTTTGTGAGTCTTTTTATAACTATTGAATGTCCTTGTAGTCTTCTTGGGTATTAAGGATACTGTTGCTATTAAGGAAATTAGCAACAGTATCCTTGAATATTTAAGTATTCTGCTTGAGTAGTTATTAAGGTATCTTGCAAACATAGTTTTAAACACCTCTGTAGTTCTACGTATCGGATCTCCCGTAAACGTAGCCGTATACTCCTCATACATCCTGTTTGAGTCATTAACCACGTTTTTCGCATTAAAAAAACCTGATTGCCGAATCCTTTTCTCTGTTCCGTGTATCGAATACTTATCTAGGTCTCGAGTCGAGGAACTATTTTTAATTCCGGATCGAAGAATCAGTTCTACTTATCGTAGAATAAGTATAGTATTCGATTATCTCCAATAAAATATCAAATCAAACGAAAACCAAAATCGGTGATTCTGCTCTGTCTCAAAAGAAATAAATTGGACCACGACGATCTATTCCTGCCCAAAGGGAGAATTCCTGTCATTACAAGCTCCACGCTCTTGACAAGCATCACGTTTATAGCTAACTCCAAGCTCTTAGCTGTCTCTACGCCCCAAGCTCTTAAAAAGCTCTACGCTTATAGCAATTTTTAAGCCATTGCCAAGCTCTAAGTCCATAGCTAGTTCCTAGCTCGTATCCATCTACTAATACTTTGTCACTTTTACTTTTTGCATTTTCCCCATGAAAACTTCCTAGTCGACAGCAATCCGAATACTTCCGAACCAAAAGCAACCCAAACATCTCGGCAGCAATCCCCCCTGTATACGCACAAGCCAGTAACATCGACATCAAAATCTCTCCATGGCCTCCGAAAAATGAGATAAAAAACTGTAATAAAGCCAAACATCATAATTTTTACATTTTTTTTAATTTTATTGAAGGAAAGCCATTTGGCCACTACAGGCGAAGCGCTTGCTTGAGGTGATCGACACTTTGGTATTTTTTAGTGCCAACCTTGCTTTCCAAAATACTCCAGACACAATAGTTCAACGGATTGCTATCCGGAGATTTTGGTGGATATTGTGCGCTGAAAATTAAGTGAGAGACCTCATTTTGCAACTATTCTTGGGTGGCGCGTACTGAGTGCGATGGTGCTGGGTCCTATTTGAATGTCCAAGCTTAATACACCCTCCAGAACATTTTCGCGATAATATTCGGCATATATTCTGATTCTAATTCTGGTCGATTAATACAAGCGGAGAGCGACCATCGGCTGTTATGGCGGCCCACACCATCACCATGGCCGGCGCTTGATTTCTGGTGGCCAACCGAAGGTGCACATTTTCAGCTGACCTCTTTGGCAAGAAAACACGATAATTTTGTTTGTTTACAAACTGCTGGACAACGAATGTTTTCTCATCGGAGAAAAGCATATTCGGCAGTTCACCACTTTCGGCCAAGCGAAGCAACTCTTTAGTTGCAATTGGCTGCAGTTTTTTCATCTCACCCTTCTCTGTAAATCCTTATCATATTTTTAAGCTTAGAAAAATCGTATTATTTGTCTAAAGGATGTTCCAAAATCAAAGTTAATGGAATTTTGTTTTTGAATTCTGATTTTTGGATTTTTTAATTTTGGATGCTCTCAAAATTTTTTTCTTTCAAAATAGTTCTGGAAATTTTAGGTATGCAATCGAAAATCTATTTTGTTTTGAATTTTGTCTTTAACTTCTGATTTTTGGATTTTCTCAATTTGGATGCACTCAGTAATTGTTTTTTTTTTTTTAATTTTATGGAAATTTTATCTATGCCATCGAAAATCCCTTTTTTTTTGTTCTTCATTTATTGATCCTTAAATGTCTTCTACTTCCAACACTTCCTTTTCTTAGTTTTTCTTTAATATGAATTAAATTTCCTACCAAAATTCCAAGCATTTTTATTATACTCTCACTTCCCGAAAACGGCCTTCAACTCAAAATGAAGATGAATGAACATTTCACTAGCCATATTAAGTGAACGGAGCAGATTAATGAAGTGTTTCCTCACTAAAGCCATTACATGCTACAGTCAAATACTACAACAATGTTGAATACGAGATGAACAATTTTGCAAAAATACAAACAAAATACTAGAGATTTTTTTTCATTTAGCAAAAATACAAAATACACTAAAGCTGCTGCTGTTGTTGATGGAATAAACCACCATAACTTACTACTACCACCACCACCATTGACGTCTGTTGAATTCTTTTTGGCTAATTGCTTTTCGTATTCTTCCTGTAGCAGGATTGTTGCAAATTTCATAAACTTTTGAGCAAAAAAAAAACATTTTTTTTTTTGGGTTAATGGAATTTTAAAAATTAATAATTAGAAATAGTGAACAGAAAAGTAACGAGTAATGTAATAACAGTTCGTTCATAACAGAAGTAAAACTGAATCTGTGGATTTTTATATCATTGCATAAATTGAATTTTCATTAAAATACAAAAAATTAATTTTTTTCATTAAATAACAAACATTTTTTCCAAATATGTGGATTTTTATTTGAAGAAATGAGTTAAATAGCTTTCAACCCTATCAGAATCATAGTCAGAACTTTATGAATATTTAGAGGGGTGACGTTAAAAAAAAAAAAACAAGTTCTTCAGCAAACTCGAAGTAAATCGTTTTGGAATTTCCAAGACCCAGACTGACTATTGGACAATGATGTTATGAGGAAATAAAACCAGTAAGGAAAGGCAAAAGTCGGATACCCAAGAACACTATGATGTAGCTTGATTGAGGTAAATTTATGTTGTGTGACCTCTCGAACCAAATATCGTTGCTATGAAGTGCATGTTATGATTTTTAGAATACCTAAATATAAAATCGGATGAAGCTACTTTCTTTGACAAAAATTAGCGTCCCTTATGTATTATTTACATCAAATTAGAGGGGAATATATATGGGAGACATATATAAATCTGAACCGATCTCGACAAATTTTCGAAATTTTATGTTCAGGATTTTATGATATTATCAGAAAATGTGCAGTGAATAGGGAAAAGGTGCTAAATTTGGAAATAAAACCAGTAAGGAAAGGCAAAAGTCGGGCGTTGCCGACTTTATGATACGCAAGAACACTATGATGTAGCTTGACTGAGGTAAATTTATGTTGTGTGACCTCTCGAACCAAATATCGTTGCTATTAAGTGCATGTTATGACTTTTAGAATACCTAAATATAAAATTTGACAAAAATTAGCGTCCTTTATGTATTATTTACATCTATACATATGGGAGACATATCTAAATCTGAACCGATCTCTATATATTACGCATTTGGTGCGCAATACTCATAAAATCGGAACACACTATATTTTTGGGAACTATATCCAAATTTGATCCGATTATCACCAATTGCAAAAGAATTCGTCCTTCAAGCAAATGTTTTGTGGAAAATTTCATTTCAATCAGACAATAAATGTGACCTGTAATTTGTTAACAAAAATACATGGACAGACGGACGGACATGCATAAACCAATTCAGAACACGATTCCAAGAAGATCATCAAAAGGAAGTATGAATGTACCACAGTGTGGTGACGGCTACAAAAAGTCTTCCACAAACCAATATTGATAATATTTGGAATGATATCTATTATTTTTACAAAATTTATTTTTTGTAGAGATTTTTTTCTTATGGTATTAATATGTAGCTCCTATTAGTGGGTCCATATATGTCGATAATTTGAAATAATTCAAATATTTTATTTTTTTTAATTCCACCTTTCAATAACAAGCAAATCTGTTTAGCAACAGATTTGTTTGTCTAGATTTTGCGGATGTATTTTTTAGATACTCTTTGTTATCTTCTTTACTTACCAACAGCACAAATACGCCAACAACGGCCAGGGCGACGGTATACCAATTGTGTTGTATCCACTTCTTGAATGTGGCAATGCTCTCCTCGGACAGCAACAATTTGCGCAATGTTGCCAAAGGACCAGAAGGATCAACTTCACGACATTTTTGGAACACATCACAGTAACTGTTGACACGACGTTGCCAAGATGTTGTTGCAATGATAAATGGATATGTCCGGCAATTTGAAATTATAGAAAAATAGAAGAAAAGCATATATTAGTTATTTTTTTTTGTTGCAATTATTAAAAAAAATAGAAATATAGAATTATTAAAAATATTATATTTTAATGTAAACTTTTTGGATACTTAAAGTTCACTACATCTAATGAAATAATAAATATAATTCTAATGAAATAATAAATAAATAAATGGAAACCTTACTATTTAAAAGAACCTGGAAAAAGTTCTAATAAAATGACGTAAGATAATACGAAAGAAGCATGTATGATACCCAAGGAAGACATGGCTCAAAGGGTCAAATATTCGTTGTGTATGAAATTTAAAATTTCTTAAAATCCAAATTTAAAAATTTTATGCAAATTAGAAAAAATCGGGCACTTATTTCACGCTTCGTGAGATCTATGCTTCTTCAAAATGTTAATCTTTCGTAGGGGAGGTATCAAAAGGAGTGGTCTGATGTATTTCATGTTCGATCTTTTTCTAGTGTATATGGGGGCCATACAAAAACGGGAACCTATTTGGGCATTTTTTTTTATTTTAGGAATGTTATCTATTCGATTCTTAAATACCAAATTTAGTGCAAAAACGGAGCTAGAACCCATATCGAACCACAAATACGATTTTTAGGCAAATCCGTGAAAAAATGTGACAAAAATAATCAAAATAACAAATATCGGGAGGTACTGTTATATGGCGGCCAAACGTGGATTCTTATATCTCATTTTATATACCAACCATCCTAGACGCAATAAAAACTAATGTGACAAGTTTAACATACCCTCCTTAGGTGGTGCCTATAAAAGCAATTGCTTGGGAGAGAAGTGAATCGAATCGGGAGGGAATCGAAATGGCCCATCTTCAAGCTCGATCTTTGTGTACATAAAAAATAGAATACACCAAATGAAACGTTTAAATCCAAAAATCCTTTTCAGAGCCAGCCTATTCGCAGACCGAAGAGAGAAATACAAATTTTTACATGATAGATGAAATTAACAAATAAAAAAACTGTTATCTTCGACCGGGTCGAATTTTAAATAGCCACTACTATTTAGAAAGTAACACTTAAAATATTTTTCCGAGATTCGGTATCCGAACAACACTAAATTTGCTAAATATTGCTCAAATCATCAAAATAATGAATATCGAGAGGTACAGTTATATGGATGCTATATGAAAAGGTGGACATATACTACTGCCTCTAAATGCTCTCTCAAATTGGAGTAGAAAGTGAATCTCGCTCGAATAAGTGCGGGAGTAGCCCAAAGAGTTAACAAATGAATTTTGTTTATAATATTTTTTTATGCCACTTGAATAAGAGCGGAAAAGCTTTGCTCCATTTTGGAGTGAAAGGTAAATTCTCTCGAAATCGAGCAGATTCTGCTCGTGTTGAGTACTTTTGTATGTTTTGGCATACCGTTGTTATACCCTCAGCCATATGACTACAGAGGGTATATATCTCATTTGATACGTCCAAAACGAGCCTCATCGAAATAATGATGTTAGACCCCAGGTCACTTTGGACCAAATCCTTTTCAGGTTATTTGGAGTCGATTTTGGGTGTCCGTCCGTTCATCTCTCTGGCTGGATCAAGTACACTTTTACTCTCGAAGAGAATATCCAATAAAGTCCGAACTTGGTATATCGTAATATTATTATCAAACTTAGATCGAGTTCGGATATGGACAATATCGGTCAACTCCTTCTGATACCTCCCCCACAAAAACTCTAAATTTTCATAGAAAATCCTAATATTAGTATCAGAGCTAGATAAGATGCAAAAATGGACAATATCGGCAAATTCTATCAAGTACCTTTCTCACAATGGGTCAAAATTTTGAATAATTATAATTCTTATAAACTGTTATGTTAGAGTCCGATCGTCTCCAAATCACACAGATCACAATATTTTTATTAACCCAAGGTCTGGCGCGAAGATGGAATATATCGATCCACTATTCTGATACCTCCCCCACAAAGGGTCAACATTTCGAATTTGCATGAAGCTCATAAACCGCGAAATTAACATCCGATCCCATTCTGACTTAATATATTTCAATATTTTTGTCAGCACAAAATCTTTTAAAGAGAAGGTAGAGATCGGACCATTCCTTCTGGTACCTCCGCAACAAAGGGTCAACGTTTCGAATAACCAAAACGATTATAAAATCCGTAATAAGCATTTGGTTCTCTTCATATTTCTCACATCGCATATATCGGTCCACTCCTTCTGGTACCTCCCCCAAAAAGGGTCAACATTTTTAATATCCAAGAAGCTCATACAACTCGTAATTAGCATTCGATTCCATTCAAACTTGACAAATCTCAAAATTTCTATCAACAAAAGATCTGTTATAAAGATGGTAGAGATCGAACCCTTTTTTCTGGTACTCTGCCAGAAAGGGTATAAGTTTTGAATAACCAAAACGATAATAAAATCCAAAATAAGCATACGGTTCTATTCATATTTCACATATCCCATTATTTTTACTAACACAATATTTGCTGTGAAAATGGGATATATCGGTCCTCTCTTTGTGGTACCTCCTCGCAAAAGGGTCAAAATTTTGATTATCCTTGAAGAAAACGCAAAGTTAACAGCCGATTCCATATAGAGTTGGTACATCCCAATATTTCTATGAGCACAAGATCTCTTATAAAAATGGTAGAGATCGGACCATTTCTTCCGCTACCTCCCCCACATAGGGTTTAAGATTTTTAGAAACAAATGCTTAAAAAAGCGAAATTGGCATCCAACTCTCTTCAAATTTCACACATACAAACATTTTTGCTAAAACAATATCTGTTGTGAAGGTGATATATATCTGCTAACCCCTTCTGGTACCTCGCTCCCAAAGGGTTCAAATTTTTCCACTGTCAGTAGTTACATGGAACTTACAAAAATTACATAATTCTGAAATCAGAAACAAAGTCTTTGTAAGGGACACTCAATATAAACACCTTCAAAAATGTTTTATCTTGAAATGTACTGCATCGAATTCGGAAGCCCTGTTTGACATTCTTTAATCTCGAATTCAAAATATTTGTTCTCATTTGCCCTCTTTAGAAACACATATTTCCTTTCATCTTTTCAAAATGTAGTTTCACCATTGTCCCACATTTCATCAAAATCCAAGTGATGTCATGCATAACGCACTACGAAGAAGTGTCTGTCTGTGTGCGGTGCAGTGCGGTGCGGTGAAAAGAGGAAGCAAACCTCTCACTATTGTTTGGTGAACAATTTGGTAATGGATGTGGTCATTTTAAAAGATTTGACACTTGACATAGACACACTGGTGGTCAAGTGCACTGTGTGTGTGTGTGTGCATGTAGACACACTTACACACACTCACACACACACATAGATGCATGCATACTTGAGTATTATCTAAAACCACTATCATGAAACACAAAACCACAAACTGTGACATATTTGCCATTACACTTTTCGCCTCACTCTTCCTCTCTCTTCTACATCTACGTATAAACAGAAAAACTTACCCATTATAATCATTACAGGGTGTTCCAGGTTTGGCATACATATCGGGTACATCAAATGGTGGTTCATTCCATTCAAAGGAACTGCGACATGGATTATCCTCCCCAGGCAGCTTACAGCACAATTCACATGATTTGATCTTGTCATCTTTGGGCCCCGGAATACATTGACACGATTCCAGACCATAGGCTAAACAAATACTACCCGTACATTCACCCATATAGCAAACGAATTCCTTGTTACATATTGTCTTGTTCGGCTTATTGACCGATGGCGGACACTGAGGCATGTGACCATCACAGAAACTGGGATCCCGACAGCCGTTGTCGTCTCTGCACTTATCACCATACTTAAGTTTACAATCGCCCGTACAGCAGGGACCTTGCGAGGGACTGCACATCGCCTTCGGCGTCAGCGTGCAGGGCTTCTCATCGTTGCGCGGATGGCGTGACATGGGAAAGCAACAAGAATCTTTACAATCCTCTTCCCAACCGCAATCGCATTGTTCACCAGGTTCTACAACGCCATTGCCACAAATCGACGATTGCGGTTCGGTAAAGCAACCCTTTGTGCTACGAGCCTTGGCATTCAGAACCGGTTCAATGGACTTCAGTGAGCAGGGAGAGAATTTGTTGTTATTCTTCTTGTCTCCCGATGTGGCACGAGCAAACATTATGAAATTGCCATCTTCGCCGCCCGGGGTACACTGTTCGGGATCGTGCTGAAAGTAGAGAAGAGTGGGGAAAATTTAAGTTAATTTGTTGATTGTCAATGCGTGTAGAGAAATATATAGCTATTGCTATATAAAGAACCTCCATCCCTTTAGATATGTGTTAAACTAAGACCAAATAATAAAGATCAGTTTATATTAAGAGCCTTATACGAGCGTCGGAAATAGGTGTTCTCGAAGGACTAAATTCGATTTTTTCCAAACCTATTAAATATCTACTCTCGGAGATATAGCGTCAGAATAGGAGGTACCTCCCAAAAATTTAGATGTTATATGCACATATCTATTGATCGATTACAGATACAGTCTCCAAATCTAGAATGCGTTACGGAATTTGAAACAAGAATAAATTTGCAAAATTATATTGAAATCGGTTCAGATTTGAATATATCTCCAATATATATTTTCGGCCGATTTCATGTATTTGATGTATGTCCGATTCCATAGATATTTCGAAAGAATGACGGAATTTGGTACCAAAATAAATTTGCAAATTGTATTGAAATCGGTTCAGATTTGGATATAGCTCCCATACATATATCGTTTATTTGATGCACCAAACACGATATGTATGTTCGATTCCAATGAGATTTGGAATGGGTGACGGAATTTGATCAAAAAATATATTGACAAATTTTATTAAAATCGGTGCTTACGTAGAATTTTTATTAAATGGGCTCTTAAAAATTTGGCCAAAGATCAACTTTTTATAAAAAAAATTGTGTTTGGAGACGAAAATAATTGTTGGCTCAGTTAGTACGATACTAAGCCGAATTGTCGATTTTGTAGTGAAGATCAGACAGAAGGATTGGAAAAGCTACCATGCCTCCATAACAGTTGAGTGCTGTTTGAGGCTGATGCCATCTTTGGACCGTACATCTTTAATTATGCTGCGAATAGTAACGAATGATGAGGGCTACCGTGAGATGATATCCAGCTTTTTTTGCCCGAAATGTTGAATTGTATGACATGTGTGACGAAATATACCCATTGGTCCTATTTAGGATCTTCATAGAACCATATCGTATTTTTGGAAGTAATGTACAGGGCGTCCGATTGAGAGTTTTTCCACAAATCATATGTTTTGCCCAAGGACAAAACTTTTTTAAAATTGGTGAGCATTGGCCCAAGTTTAGATATAATCAGACCTCTGAAAAATTCTCCCGAATTTGGACAAAGAGTGAAACTCACTCGAATTCGAGTGGGGGCGCTCCAAGGAGCAAAAAAAATAGAGCAAACTAAATTTTTTGATGTCGCCCGTTTTTGAGTGGTAGATAAATTCGTTCGAAATCGAGAAGATTCTATTCTTGCCGAACACTTTTTATATCTTCCTCCACAAAATAAATTTTTCTACTAATTTTCACTTTTTTTTTTTAAATTTTATTGAATGAAAGCAAAAAATGTCGGAATTAGCATCAAATTTTAGAATAAGTTTAGATTTGTTGGAATTGGTAAGAATTATGGCCTTCAAACGGCCAATGAAACCTTCACACGCAGCCCGAAAGTTGCTCTGCGGTATTTTGGCCCCCTCCAAGCGAAACACTTGCTTGATGTGTTCGACACTTTAGTATTTTTTAGTGCCAACCATGCTTTCTAAAATACTCCAGACACAATAGTTCAACGGATTGGTATCCGGAGATTTTGGTGGTTATTGTGAGCTGGAAATGGAGCGAGGAACCTCATTTTGTAATCATTCTTGGGTGGCGCGTGCTGAGTGCGATGGTGCTGAGTCCTGTTGGAATGTCTAATGTCTGCGGCCAAAATGTTTGCGTGCCCTAGGCTTAAAAATCACCCTCCAGAATATTTTCGCGATAATATTCGGCATTTACTCTGGGGAGAGCGAACATCCGCTGTTATGGCGGCCCACACCATCACTATGGCCGGCGCTTGAGTTCTGGTGGCCAACCGAAGGTGCACATGTTCAGCTGACCTCTTTGGCAAGTAAACACGATCATTTTGTTGGTTTACAAACTGCTGGACAACGAATGTTTTCCCATCGGAGAAAACCAAATTCGGCAGTTCACAACTTTCGGCAAAGCGAAGCAACTCTTTTGAGTCAATTTTCTTTCTGTTGCGGTGTAAGTTCTTGCACTATTTTGAATTTCAATGGCTTAACCCCGAACTCATTTTTCATTATTTGCCGAATGGAATATTGCGATATGTTTAGCTCACGAGCCATTTTTCGGCCACTGCGACGAGGGTTACGATCAAGCCAGCTCTTTACCTTTCGAACCATTTCTGCTGAAGTTGCTGTTTTCTTCCGTCCACTTCCTTGACGTCGGGCTACGCTTCCAGTATCACGGTAACGAGCGATGGTACGAGACACAAAAGATTTATTCACATTTAAATGATGGAGTGCTCTAACGATAGCCACTTGTGGCTTTCCAGCCAAATATAAAGAAATCACATTATAACGCTTGAATTCCATCACGAATAACTTTTTAACATTTTTTTTAAACATTTTTTTCATCTCACCCTGTATATATTCGATCAAGTTTTCCTATAACGGCCATCATATAAGGGTACCTCCCAATATTCGACATTTTAGTCATATTTGTTCACGATTTTTGTAGTGGAAAGTATTGGTAGTTCGGCCCGGAAGAACTTGATCTTTTTTTAACTTTATTTTAAAATAATCCTTCTCGAATTCGCACTTTGTTTATTGTTACTGGTAACTCCACTGAATATCATATAGTCCGGACCGCTCGAATTTTGACCTTTCATTACGGTTTCTATATACTCTCCACCATATTATGGAGGGTATATTTAGTTTGTCATTCCGTTTGTAACACCTCGAAATTTTAAAAGTTTGACCCGACAAAGTATATATATTCTTCATCAGCATAAAATTCTGTGTCGATTTATCAATCCCCGTCCGTTTGTCCGTCTGTGGAAATAACTCAAGCTTCCGAACGAAATGAAGTAGGTTGATAAAATTTTACTCAAATGTGTACTAGTCTGCAGGACTTTTGGTATTGATAATGGGCCATGTAGGACCATTTTCTGATAAAATATATGGGCAAGATCTTCGCAATCGCTATAAGCAGGGAATATAATATAACAGGGAATATATATATAAGAGCAGTACCTAAACGTGAACCAGATTTTAAAGAAAAATATTATTAAAATATAAAATACATATAATAAAAATTTTAGCGAAAATATTCTAAATTTGTAAAAAATAAAAAAAGGATTTTTATAAACCTGGCTGTGGGATTTGAACCGCGGACCTCGGTGTGCAGCCAACTAGAAGTTGCCGTCTCTACGTTCAGAGCCATTAACCCGTCTTCCTAAAGCAGCACTAAAACAAGTGTATGCATTCGAAGCAATGTAGTTGTTGTGGACAAAAAATCCATCACTACAAAAACAAAACTTTGCTGTGAAAAAGATCTGCCAATAGAACTTGAGTCGAACCTGGAGAGTTTCTAGTGTATAATTCGCATATGCTAATTTGCAATAAGTTCGAAATATATACTACTTTCCAGAGAACGGCCCTTGTAAGCCATCATCCACACCAAATATGCCTGATGAGCCGCTTAACCAACGGCGAAACGCGTCGCATAGTGGTGAGTGTGTGATAGTGTCTATCTGGCTTTCCTTTTCACTGCAAATTCCTGATCATTAAGCTCGTCTCGAAAGAGAAAACAAACACATAAATCATAAAACATATGATCTTCGCCTTAACAAGGCAAAACTCAAAATTTATGATGTTTACTGGTAAATCAAAAATGGACGGATTAATTCGAAAATTTCAAAAATTATGGAGGAGTAGGGACTTTTTCCCTACATTTAGGTTACATTGCAATGTAAACTATTAAAACGCCTATGCACGAGTTCCAATTTTTAGCTCTACATTAAAAATCTGCTGAGTTTTTCCTTTAATTAGATTTTTTTGTGTTACAGAGCACAATTTTTATGAAAAAATCAACATTTGGAATAACAATCTGTGTGAGCACATTGGTAAATTTGCTAAAATATACGCTTCATCTAAATTTGAAATATTCTAATTGATATATCTGTTGCACAATTCATGCGTGTAATTAAATCAACAAACATTAATTTGATAATTACCAATTTTCGACTGAAAACCCGCATGAAAAATACACATTTGACATGTATCTTCATTTTCTTTAACGCACACACACACACACAACGCATACATATGTAACTTCATTCAAACCCTATGCAACGTCTGCCACGCTGCATTGCAACCGACATGGAAACGCAATAACTTAAAATGTAATTTGTCCTTGTTACAATTTAATCGATGATTAAAGGAAATTCCAAGTACCGCAAGCGTATAACAAGAAAGCGTAATGATTATATCATTGAAGCGATGCGAAAGCAGAATACGCTTAAGCACGCTAAAGCTTTTGATATGCTCTAGGAAAATAACAACAATCTCTTAAGATGAAAACACCCAGGCAAAAAAAGGGAAACTCGAGTACTTTGCGAAATGAAGAAGTTTAGGTTGGATAGATTTTCAGTGGAAATGGAAATCAATTTTAATGGGGTGGTTGGCTAATGAGATTTTTTTTAAAAAATATTGGAAAAATATTGTAGAACTTGTGATACTCGCGAGTGAACTTTGATATTTAAATTTATAAGTAATTGAAACCAAGTTTCAGTATCAGTCGGTTTTGCCGACAGATGTATTCTCTCAGCCAATGTTCGATTAATTAAATATATTTTGACTTCTGCTTTGATTATTCAAATTGTTGACCCTCTATGGAGTAGGTTCGGGAGAAATGGACCAATATTGTCCATTTCGCATTGGACCTAAATAAATATGATATAAATATTGTGACGTGCCAGGTTTTGACGACTACTTCCTTCCATTTATATATGATAATTTTTAGAAAATGTTAAAATGTGCGTGAGGTACCAGATATATGTTATTGTTTCACAAGTTATGACAGATAAAAATATTGAAAATTGTGACCCTTTGTGGGTGAGATACCAGAAGGCGTTCGCAGATATACTTGTGGGAG